AACTCTAGAGATTAGTTTTTTAAGTTGAAATTTCTAACGATTACTTTGCCTAATAGTGTCTTTGTGAGTATTTTGTACGGTGATAAATTTTCCAAGATCTCAAAGTTAGATCTTTAAGTGTCGTTTCTGTTGTTGTTTCTTTCTTACGCGGTTTTGACTGTCATGAGTAGTCAACGAAGTGTCCCTTCATTTTGAAAAAAAGATTAATTTACGTGGCAGACAAACCTTTTCACTCCGACTCGTCAACTCGTGTAAAACAACTTTTACAAGGGAGAAAAATATAATACCATCCAGTTATAATGAATATTATTAGCTTCCAATACAAAAGCGGATGGGATTTCACCAGCGATTATTTCAGCATCCATTGCTTACGTGACGAACGCTGAAAATTTACATACCCGTTACCAGACGCGCTTTGTCTGAACAAAGTACTCAGATGGTTAAACTTTAGCAAGTACAGATAAGAGACAGTGGCACAAGGAAGTACGCAAACTGACTTATCAGTGTGAATTCACACCGCTCTTTGGATTTTACCTTATCTTCGTAGTATCTACAGGCATAAAGCGTGTAACGGGATACTGTTGGGTAAGAATTATAAATCCCCAGCCAAGCGGAATAACGTAATTAGACCCCTTAAAATCAGAAAGAGTGCACTTTAATGTAAAGATCTGACGAGTTTAAAAACCAAAGTACTAAATACAATACGGTGGCTAACTCGTCTAGAACATAAACGGGAAGCCATTTCATTCAGGGATCTCATACCGTGTTAATGTATCGACATTTGACTCATTGTACCAGGTAAAAATTGACATAATATTCTGTTTGCATGTATTACTTCGAGGGTGCTGTGAAAATAAAAAAAAGGTAATTTATCACCGTTTTTGATGACATGCCATCTTTTCATTGGTGCTCTCTAGACGAAGCCAAATTGTAAATTAATGTTTATCACGACATATCGGTTCACGGGATTGGTCAATGTGGTTAGATAAACAATTAGTTACGCCAACGTTTCGAAATATATAATTTCTTCATCAGGGCTACAGTATAAACAATGAACAGTGTATGAAGACAACATACATTACAATTTACGCGTGTCCCTGGCAATGCATGAAGAAGAAATGAGAAGCAAATTTCAAAACACCGGGACACTTTTCCCTCCATTTCCCCCAATTCTACTGGGCTACGCAACGAACGTTTCATCCCCTTCTGCCATCGCGCTATGGTCCGCCTTTTGATACACTACATGATCAAAAGTATCCGGACTGGTGACTGAAAATTACTCACTAGTTCGTGGCGCCCTCCATCGGTAATGCTGGAATTCAATACCCTTAGCATTGATGACAGCTTCCACTCTCGCAGGCATACTTTCAAACAGGTGCTAGAATGTTGCTTGGAGTCCGGCGGAGTGCTACAGTGAGAACAGATATCGATGTAGGTCGGTGAGGCCTGGCATGAAGTCGGCGTTCCAAAACATCCCAAAGGTGTTCGATA